TTAATTAAAAAAATGCCTGCAACTAGTGATGATGTGAGTGAATTTAAGGCCAGCAAAGGTTGGTTTGAGAGATTTAACCCTTTCAGGGTCCAAGGCCCAAATCTGGAGTCACGCACCAGTGTCCAAGATATTTCAAAAAAAAAAATTTGTTATTTTTTCTTATGAAATCGTAGAGAATCTTTTTGTGAAGGTAATAAAACAAAAAGTACGAAAATTGGTGGAAAATTGACGAAATTATGCTCTCGCGAATTTTGATGTGTCAGCGATATTTACGAATCGGCGATTTTGCCGACTTTGACTCCCATTTTAGGCCAATTACATTATTCCAATCAACCAAATTCTTAGCTATTTCACTAGTATTACTTCTATTCTATCGATTGAGCACAAGAAATCGCCAAGTCAACTGTTTCAACTACAAAATAAAGTGATCGGAAATTGTTAATTTGGCCAATTTAACACAAAGTTCAAAATATTCCAATTTCAAAATAGGGTCCAGAATGAACAATGTAGGCATTCCTGGCACTAAACTAACATTTCCTCTGTTCATTAGTTATGTTTTGAGGCTTTACAAATAAATTCCATTTTGATTTTTTATTCACATAATGAATTTTTATTCACACCAAAAAATAGAAGATTTACTGTTATGCAATACTGTAATAATTGTATAAATATCATCACCATATTTGTGAATGTATATTAGACCCACCAGCTGATGTGTATTAGACGTGTGAGGTCGTTTGTTTACTCTTGAATATCGGCAAAAATTTAACATTTCCGCTACTTTGAGCTCAGTTTCAAGCCATTTCCAATGCTAAAACCAATCAAAATCATCTCTATTTCTGTAATATGTCTTCCATTCTATCAAATGAGACCAAGAAATCGCAAATACAACTATAAAAAACATACGAAAAAACACTGCAAAGTTGCTGTTTTAATCGAAAAATCATGATTTCATTTTTTTTCTCTCATTATGCACAGTGTGCTGCAGGATCTGTTTTATGTGGTGCACACATACCACATAGATGTATTATCTCATATCTAGGCCCAAATGTACCACTCACAGTTTATCAGAGTGAGCTGAGCTCATGGCGTAGATCTACGGTTTGGACCCTGAACGTAAAGCCGTAGATCTACGGGACGGACCCTGAAAGGGTTAAGAAGCATAGTGGCATACATAGTGTGATAAGGCATGGTGAGGCTGCCAGTTCGGACCACAAAGCAGCTGAAAAATATGTGCAGGAATTCAAGGAGTACATAGACAGTGAAGGACTGAAACCTGAACAAGTGTTTAATTGTGATGAAACAGGCCTGTTTTGGAAGAAAATGCCAAGCAGGACCTACATTACTCAGGAGGAAAAGGCACTCCCAGGACATAAGCCTATGAAAGACAGGCTTACTCTGTTGATGTGTTCGAATGCTAGTGGTGATTGCAAAGTTAAGCCTTTATTAGTGTATCACTCAGACACTCCCGGAGCGTTCAGGCAAAAGAATATCCTCAAGGCTAATTTGTGTGTGCTGTGGAGGGCAAACAGTAAGGCATGGGTCACTAGGGACTTTTTCTATGACTGGTTACACCATGCATTTGCCCCCATTGGTGTTAGACAATGCCCCTGGTCATCCTACAGACGTGGCAGAGCGACTTTATGGGGACATGAGGTTAATTAAGGTGAAGTTTTTGCCTCCTAATACCACTCCTCTCCTGCAGCCCATGGACCAGCAGGTTATTGCAAACTTCAAAAAACTGTACACAAAAGCTCTGTTTGAAAGGTGCTTTGTAGTGACCTCAGAAACTCAACTGACTCTAAGAGAGTTTTGGAGAGATCACTTTAATATCCTCAATTGTGTAAACCTTATAGGTAAGGCTTGGGAGGGAGTGACTAAGAGGACCTTGAACTCTGCTTGGAAGAAACTGTGGCCAGAATGTGTAGACCAAAGGGATTTTGAAGGATTTGAGGCTAACACTGAGAGGAGTATGCTAGTTGAGGAATCAATTGTGGCATTGGGGAAGTCCTTGGGGTTGGAGGTTATTGGGGAGGATGTGGAAGAGTTGGTGGAGGAGGACAATGAAGAATTAACCACTGATGAGCTGCTAGATCAACTTCAACAGCAAGAGGCCAGACCTAAGGAAAGTGCTTCGGAGGAGGGGATAGAGAAAGTGAAGAAGTTGCCTACTACAAAGATTAAGGAAATCTGTGCAATGTGGCTGAAAATGCAAACCTTTATGGATGAAAATCACCCTCACACAGCTATTGCAAGCCGTGCTGGTGACTATTACACTGACAATGTTGTGAAACACTTTAGGGAAGTCATAAAGGAACGAGAGGTACAGGCCACTATGGACAGATATGTTGTGCGACATAAGTCCAGTGACTCTGAAGCTGGTCCTAGTGGCATTAAAAGAAGAAGGAAAGTAACCCCAGAAAAGGACTTGACACCTCAAGTCTTAATGGAAGGGGATTCCCCTTCTAAACACTAAGACTCTCTCCTCCTCCCATCCCATCAATCATCACCAGATCTTCAATAAAGGTAAGTGTCATGTAATTGTGCATGCCTTTTTAGTTTGTGTGTATTAAAATTAATATTCATGTGGTAAAAATGTTTTTTTTTTTCATACTTTGGGGTGTCTTGCACGGATTAATTTGATTTCCATTATTTCTTATGGGGAAAATTCATCCGCATAACGATAATTTCGCATAACAATGAGCTCTCATGAACGGATTAATATCGTTAAGCGGGGGGTCCACTGTACTGTCATTTCGCCCTACATCATATCTTGTATACTTATTTATCCTCTTTTTCTTAAAATATGTATTACCTATAACTAAACCCCTTTCTATACAAAGTTCAATCAAAGAGCTCCCATTATCATTTACACCTGGCACCCCAAACTTACCTACCACACCCTCTCTAAAAGTTTCTCCTACTTTAGCATTCAGGTCCCCTACCACAATTACTCTCTCACTTGGTATAATACAGGTCCGCCATCACAAATCCGGCAATCAGTTATTCGGTTCTTTCAGTTATTCGGCACTAATTTTGGCTAGCATAATTTCAAATTTCCAGGGTCGCCACACCAACCTGCTGGTACTGTTTGGTGGTGATACTTGCTGCATAAATCATTCCAATTTCTTTTTCTCCATTTATTGTTTTAACCTGCTTACTTTTAGCCCTAGCCATGGTTCCAATGAATAAAAGAAATGCTTCTCATTATGTAAAGCACCTACACAGTACATTATCCATTAAAGATAAGGTGGCTTTGAAGCCACTGTTGGTTGCCATGAGCTCAGTCTCATGAAGCAGGAGAATATGCTTTATTATTGCGCTAATATCAACACTACAGCTTATTTGCCTATCACAATTGAGAGCCTGGCGACCCTGAAAGGGTTAATGTGCCTCAGAGTTTTTTTTAACAAGTCGGCCGTCTCCCACCGAGGCAGGGTGACCCAAAAAGAAAATACTTTCATCATTCAACACTTTCACCTCACTCACACATAATCACTGTTTTTGCAGAGGTGCTCAGAATACAACAGTTTAGAAGTATATACATATAAAGATACACAACATATCCCTCCAAACTGCCAATATCCCAAACCCCTCCTTTAAAGTGCAGGCATTGTACTTCCCATTTCCAGGACTCAAGTTATTATTATTGCTTATTATTATTATCATCATTATTAATATGGCATCCTCAATACTAATAAGACACTCTTAGTGATTTTAATGTTTACCTACATGCCAGCACAGAATGTAAGCTTATTTAGGTACAGGTACACATAATTATAAATTATCAGTGTACAAAAAATGTGAAACAACTTTAAAACACTTGAAATTTTGGAAAGTTTCCAGACATAATGGAGAGATACGATGCTCAAGGAGCTCACAGAGAATGTAAACGAACTGGGTGGGGTGTGGTGACTGTATTAGAAAGTCAGGTGGGAGGGGGGGGGGAGTCATATAGCAAGTTTTAATCAAGATTTGAAATGTCCAGATTAGCAGAACGCTGTGAGGAGAAACACCATAAGTGGGGCCCTTCTGTATCTTCCATTCTGTTAAATGAGCCATACCACAGGCAAGGTTAGAATCTGCGATCAGAGTCATAAAACTCCAGACTGATGTTAGCCACTGGGCCAGCTGGATGAATCTTACTGTGGCTAGCTGGCCCAGTGGCTAACGCGTCGGTGTGGAGTTTTACGACTCTCTGATCATTGGTTCTAACCCCGTCCGTGGTATGGTTGGTTTGCAGTTGTATCATTACAATTTCGTGAGTCATATCAAACGAGACCAAGAAAACGAGAATACAACCATAAAAACCATACAAAAATACACTGCAAAGTCGCTGTTTTACACTAAAAACACTGATGCTTTTTTTCCTCTAATTATGCAATGCATGCTGCAGGATTTTTTTTATACTGCGCACATTAACCACACAGACCTATCCTCTCATGTGTAGGCCTACCAGCTTTCTCCCACCAGACTGGAAGCCACTAGAGTTTTTGTCATGTTACAGAACCTACACTGGCTTTAAAGCCGTGATATAACGGGACCGACACCAAAAGGGTTAAACTAAAAACACGGTCTCACTTTTTTTCTCATTATACACTGCGTGCTGCAGGATTTTTTTTTTATATGGTGCATACTTAGCACAAAAACCCATTCTCCCATATCTGGGCCTAAATTTGCCAGTCACAGCTTAAGTGAGTGAGCTGAGCTCATGGCATCATACTACAGGACCAACATTGGCTTCAAAGCCGTGATACAACAGGGCAGACACTGAGAGGGTTAATTATATTAACACTACCATACAATGATATTTTTTTTCCAGTGGAACAATGTTAATACAGTAGATGTAGACTTACATGTTTCTTCCAATGAAATGATGTTAATATAGTATAGTATATACAGTAACCTGTTTCTTCCAATGGAACAATGTTAATACAGCAGATGTACACTGGTGTGTTTCTTCCAATGGAACAATGTTAATACAGTAGATGTAGACTGACCTGCTTCTTCCAGTGGGACATCTTAGCCTTGTTCTCCTTGATGATGCCATCATACTTCTCCAGCTCCTGGTCAATCTCTATTTTACTGGACTTGATAGCATTCTCCTTTTTGACAAACACCTCGTGCTCAGCCTTGAGTTTGGTGACTCTCTCTCCTAACTCTAGTGCTTTATGCTGTGAAAAAGTTCAAGTATATCTTATTCCTGGCACAGAAGAAAAAATCAACAGGCCTTAATAAAAGATGAAAAAAAAAAACAGTAGAAGCTGCATATTTACCTATGATAAAGTCGATTATATCAGTAATGTAAATATTCATTTTGATTTAAACAAAAATGTTCAGTGGATGACTAGAGGAGACATGATGCAGGTGGATAGTCTTCACATTATCATGAACAAGTAAACAAGGGTGACATGATGCAGGTGGATAGTCTTCACATTATCATGAACAAGTAAACAAGGGTGACATGATGCAGGTGGATAGTCTTCACATTATCATGAACAAGTAAACAAGGGTGACATGATGCAGGTGGATAGTCTTCACATTATCATGAACAAGTAAACAAGGGTGACATGATGCAGGTGGATAGTCCTCACATGAATATGAACTAGTAAAAAAAGTTTTGTTTTTCTTATACAATGGACCCCCGGTTAACGATATTTTTTCACTCCAGAAGTATGTTCAGGTGCCAGTACCAACCGAATTTGTTCCCATAAGAAATATTGTGAAGTAGATTAGTCCATTTCAGACCCCCAAACATACACGTACGAACGCACTTACATAAATACACTTACATAATTGGTCACATTCGGAGGTAATCGTTATGCGGGGGTCCACTGTATAATGAAAGGATGCAGTTTTCTGGGAGGACTAAGAGTAAAATAAGCAGAGCCTGATAAAATAAAAACTTATGATTTTATTTTGTGTTGAAATTGGTGACAAAATAATCACTCATCAGCAACACTGGCCATCTCCCACCAAGGCAGGTGACCCAAAAAAGAAACACTTTCACGATCATTTACTCTATCACTGTCTTCACAAAGGCACACAGATACAACAGTTTAGATATCACTCTAAACAGCATTTGAAGTGGACACACTGCACTTCCCACCTCCAGGACTCACATCTGGCTAACTGGCTTCCCTGAATACCTTCACAAAATATTATCCAGCTCATACTGCAACAGCTCGTCAAGTCCCAAAAGCAATTCGTTTCCAATCCTATCTAACATGTTCACACATGCCTGCTGTATGCCAAAGCCTTTTGCACACAAAACCTCTTTTAACCCTTCCCTCCCTCCACTATAGATTTATACACCCTCCAAGTCATCCTAAAGTACCCCATCCTCTCTTAACCCCTTCAGGGTCCAAGGCCCAAATCTGAAGTGGTGCCCCAGTGTCCAAGAATTTAAAAAAAAAAAAATTGTTGTTTTTTCTTATGAAATGGTAAAGAATCTTTTTGTGAAGGTAATAAAACAAAAAGTACGAAATTTGATGGAAAATTGGCGAAATTATGCTCTCGTGAATTTTGATGTGTCAGCGATATTTACGAATCCGCAATTTTGCCAACTTTGACTCCCATTTTAGGCCAATTACATTATTCCAGCCAACCAAATTCTTAGCTATTTCACTAGTATTACTTCTATTCTATCGATTGAGCACAAGAAATCGCCAAGTCAACTGTTTCAACTACAAAATAAAGTGATCGGAAATTGTTAATTTGTCAAATTTAACACAAAGTTCAAAATATTCCAATTTCAAAATAGGGTCCAGAATAAACAATGTAAGTATTCCTGGAACTAAACTAACATTTCCTCTGTTCATCAGTTATGTTTTGAGGCTTTACAAATAAATTTCATTTTTATTTTTTATTCACATAATGAATTTTTATTCACACCAAAAAATAGAAGATTTACTGTTTTTGCAATACTGGTAATAATTGTATAAATATCATCACCATATTTGTGAATGTATATTAGACCCACCAGCTGGCATGTATTAGACGTGTGAGGTCGTTTGTTTACTCTTGAACATCGGCAAAAATTTAACATTTCCGCTACTTTGAGCTCAGTTTCAAGCCATTTCCAGTGCTAAAACCAATCAAAATCATCTCTATTTCTGTAATATGTCTCCCATTCTATCAAATGAGACCAAGAAATCACAAATACAACTATAAAAAACATACGAAAAAACACTGCAAAGTCGCTGTTTTTATTGAAAAATCATGATTTGTTTTTTTCTCTCATCATACACAGTGTGCTGCAGGATCTGCTTTATGTGGTGCACACATACCACATAGATGTATTCTCTCATATCTAGGCCCAAATGTGCCACTCACAGTTTATCAGAGTGAGCTGAGCTCATAACGTAGATCTACGGTTTGGACCCTGAACATAAAGCCGTAGATCTACAGGACGGACCCTGAAAGGGTTAATGACCCAACCACCTCAACAACCCCTCTTCAGCCCTCTGAATAATACTTTTAGTAACTCCATACCTCCTCCTAATTTCCACACCATGAATTCTCTACGTAATGTTTACACCACACACTGCCCTTAGTCACGACATCTCCACTGCCTCCAGCCTCCTCCTTGCTGTAACATTCACAACCCATGCTTCACACCCCTATAAGAGTGTTGGTACCACTGTACTCTCGTACATTCCCTTCTTTGCCTCCATGGATAATGTTCTTTGTCTCCACAGATACCTCAATGCACCACTCACCTTTATTCCCTTCATCAATTCTACAGCTTGCCTCATCCTTCATAAACCCATCTGCCAAGAAGTCTACTCCCAAATATCTGAATACATTCGCTTCTTCCCTCCAATCTTGATATCCAATTTATCTTTACCTAGATCATTTGATACCCTCATCACCTTACTCTATGTTCACTTTCAATTTTCTTCTTTACACACCCTCCCAAACTGGTCCACTAACCTTTGTACCTTCTCTTCAGAATCTCCCAAATGCATTGTATCATCAACAAAAAGTAATTATGTCAACTCCCATTTTGTATTTGAATCTGCATAATTTAATCCCACCCCTCTCCCCAACACCCTGGCATTTACTTCTTTAAACAATCTATAAATATGTTCAACAGCCATGGAGACATTACACATCCCTGTCTAAGGCCTACTTTTACTGGAAAATAATCTCCCTCTCTCCAACACACCCTAAACTAAGCCTCACTATCCTCATAAAAACTCTTTACAACATTTAGTATCTTACTAGGATGAAAAAATTGATCCCATGTATCAAAAAACCTTCCCTATGAGGGTAGAATGAGGGCCCTGAATCTGCATTCTCTAGGAAGGCACAGAATTAGGGGAGGATATGACTGAGATGTATAAATGGAAAACAGGAATGAGCAAAGGGGATGTAAATAGTGTGCTAAAAATGTCTAGCTTAGACAGGATGAATATCAAATGTATACAATACCGACAGGTTGGTAGATAAGACACATAGGCAACATTTAGGCAACTTTATTCCGAAACGTTTCATCTACACAGTAGGCTTCTTCATTTGAGTACAGAAAGTAAGCAGGAGCAGTAGAGATGTGAAGACGATGTAATCAGTCCATCACCCTTGAAGTTGTAGATTTGAGGTTGTCAGTCCCTCAGCCTGGAGAAGTTCTGTTCCAAAGTCTGGAACTAACTGAAGATGAAGTGACAGTGTTGAGACTTAAATACTGTCCAAAGGAGAGGTGCAGAGTAGCAGTAATAGTGAGAATGTAGCCACTGAGAAGTCAGGTCCCTCTCAGATCAAACAATTCTCACTTGAAAAAGTTGTCCAAGGTGTTTTCTCTTCTGTACTAAGATGCCATTGTGTTGCAGTGTCTGACAGAGTGACAACCTCAAATCTACGGCTTCAAGGGTGATGGACTGATTACATCGTCTTCACATCTCTACTGCTCCTGCTTACTTTCTGTACTCAACTGAAGAAGCCTACTGTGTAGGCGAAACATTTCGGAATAAAGTTGCCTAAATGTTGCCTATGTGTCTTATCTACCAGCCTAGACAGGACTCGCAACAATGGCTTTAAACTGGAAAAATTCTGATTCAGGAAGGATATAGGAAAGCACTGGTTTCGTAATATAGTTGTGGATGAGTGGAACAAACTCCCGAGTACCGTCATAGAGACTAAGACATTGAGTAGTTTTAAACCTAGGTTAGGTAAGTATGTACATGAGTGGGTTACGGGGGGTGTGAATTTGACCTGACTAGCTTGTGCTACTAGGTCAGATGCCGTGCTCCTTCCTTATGTGAACATGACCTGACCTGACTAGGTTAAGACATTGGCTTAAGCCGGTAGGAGAATTGGACCTTCCTCACATGGGCCAGTAGGCCTGCTGCAGTGTTCCTTCTTTCTTATGTTCTTACCTATTCCATACATTTGCAACATATGCCACACTGTTCCCCTATCCACTCTTATCATATGAATTTTCTATATCCATAAAAGCAACAAAAACTTCCCTACCTTTATCTAAATACTGTTCACTGATGTGTTTCAAAGTAAACACTTGAATTCTACCTAATGCCTCATGCATCTCCCCCACACTCACTTCTGGCTCTACTTCACTCCTAAAAGAAGTCTTACCTCCCTGGCCAGTGCATGAAATTACTGGCTTCCTCTCTTCATCAACATTTAACAGTTCTTCAAAATATTTCCACCATTTTCCCAAAACCTCCAACTCCCCATCTACTACTCCCTTATTCTGTCTTTAACTGTCGAACCCATTTGTTCCCTAGGCTTTCTTAACCTATTAACCCCTTGACTGTCGCAGCCCCCAAAACCTGAGGTGTCTCCTGGTGTCGCAAAATTTAAAAAAAAAAACTTATTTTTTCTTATGAAATGATAGAGAATCTTTTCCCAATTGTAAAGACACCAAAAGAATGAAATTTGATGAGAAACTGATGGAATTATGCTCTTGCAAAGTTAGCGACCTCGGCGATATTTACAAATGGGCGATTTCGCCCACTTTGAACCATATTTTCAGCTAATTTCATTGCTCCAGTCGACCAAACTCATGGCTATTTCTTTAGAACTCCATTTTTTCTATCGAATGAGTACAAGAAACTGCCCTTTTACTAATTTCAACTACCCAATAATGTGGTCAGAAATTTGCAATTTGGCCAATTTCACGAAAATTAAAAAAATATGACAATTTCAAAATAAG